GTGGTATTCTTCAGTAGCCTTGCCCACATTTCAACCCAGCGAGATCTGTGCTATTTCTGCTAAACCCACTTTAAGCCACAATGATTTTCATCAAACCAAACCCGTTTCTTTCCCCCAAACATGCATTTCATCATTCCATCACCGCTCAGTCATCCATTTTTGATTATCCCCCGCCATTTCGTGCCACAAAATAATGATTTGACCTTAGGGATATTGAGTTCATGGACATTTGAAGACAGGGCCTGAAATGCTACACGGGGATGAGGTTCATGGTTGGTGTCACCCTGACCTCATGTCAGTTGCTGGTTTTATCTCTGATATACAGGACAGACTTAGGTGTAGTCCAAGGAATGAACCTCTGATAGTTTGATGTACACACAGTGTACATGTGTGTATGTGACAGAGGAATGCCTTTGTGATTTTGTGTGTTGTCTCTATGAAGTGTTTGTAACGATCTCTCAACAGTCTCTAGGCAGATTCTTCTTCTCCATTAGCCCTCGGAAGCTTGGTTGGCAGGTAGTTTTATGTTTTAAACCTAAGCTGTGCTGTTGTATTAAACCCCCCACCCCCCCCCCCCACCCCACCCCACATCCAATGTCAATAAACCCCGAAATTAAGCAGCAATTCCCAACCTGTCGTGACCCCGTTTTATAGAGGCAAACAAAATTACCAGTGACCACATACATTTAAAAAAAAATAGGATTTTAAATATGGTAAATGAAAAAAAACACAGGCAATAGATTTTACAGTCAGTAAAATATAATTTATAATAATGTCACCTTATGGCATGTGTAATGGAATGTTTGAAATCGTAACTCATTAACAAGCTTACAAATTTGCAGTAATTTTTTTTGTTAATGCTAGCCCCACCTGATTCTCATCAGTTAATCTGTTTATTATTTCGGTAAAAAATTATTCGTATGTGTACCCCTTCATCTTCCTTCTCTTTGTGGGGGGAGGGGGTGGATGAGAGGGGGCAGACCCACTGAAACATCAAACGACCATGTCATAGACGTTGACTAATTAGGGATGTTTCCTTAGAAGCCGGATTGCACCTGTTTTGAGAGGTGAGGAACCAACAGTCTGCATACAAACGAGTCAGATTTGTAAGATGGATGTACATGCAAAATTCAAGTTCTGGAAAGAGATAAAAGTCCAGAAATAGCTTAACAAATAGAACTTTCCACTGGACATTGCACAGTGAAATTTTACAACCAGTGAATTTTAGTTAGTGAACCCTAAGAAGCAGAAGAAGTTGGCTAGTGTAGTATTGATCACATGACCCATCCACTGCTGATGGCTCTAGCACCCGTTTTCTTGGGTTCAGGTCCTGTTTTAGCCGGACTTTAAAAATAACGTCCTTGGCTCTCAGGTATAACTATAAATCGGTACCAGGAAGAGTCTTGGGAAGTAAAGGCGACCTGTGTGATGCTGACCACAGCACCTGCTGAGTTGCAAATGGTCTATAAAAATATTGGTCTAGCCCTATATGCCCAGTGCGCCCAAGGGTATGGGAAAAAAAGGGTCCTTTACTTAAGAGTTTTTGAAGGTCCTAACTCACCTACATCAGATTTTTTAAAATGTAGTTTTAAATTAGCTCCAGATGTGCCAAAGCTAATCAGGTAATGGGGCAACCATCTCCCCTGTTGACACACACGCAGATACCCCGGAGTACTAAAGTAAATCTTATCAGAACTATTTTTTGGCCAACGTGGACACTTACATCCTCCAATGAACGTAAAATTGTGACAACAGAGATTAAATGCCTTAAAAGAGCTGCAGGAGTTTCAAGGAAAGACAGAATACGAAATCACAAAATCAGACGAATGCTAGGAATAAAGCCAGTCTTACAGGTCATCAAAGAACAACAAATGAAGTGGACACCTAACAAGAATGCCTTGGTACTTTTTGCCACAGCGAGGTACACTAAAACGTTACAACGGGTATAGAGTGAGTGGAAGACCTTGGAAAATATGGAGTGATGGCATTAAGAACAGCCTTATATAAATGAACATCAGTCTTATTAGTGCTCTTGACAGAGCTCATCAACGAATGTTACATCTCCCCCTGACACTTGATGAGGTACAAGGTGGAAGAGAAGAAGAAGATATAGTTGTAAAACTGAAAGTCTCTCATGTCATCATAATGACAGGCAGAGAAAAACCTTGTCTCACAATAAAAAATTTTTTTTCTCCCAAAGTACCCTTATATATCGTTTCCTGTCACAGTAATATTGTCTCTTCTCATCTTGCCGTAAAATTTATCTTTTCTCATCTCTCAGTAACATTGTCTCTTCTCATCTTGCCATAACATTATCTCTTCTCATCTTACAGTGACATTGTCTCTTCTCATCTTGCAGTAACATTGTCTCTTCTCATCTTGCAGTAACATTGTCTCTTCTCATCTTGCAGTAACATTGTCTCTTCTCATCTTGCAGTAACATTGTCTCTTCTCATCTTGCAGTAACATTGTCTCTTCTCATCTTGCAGTAACATTGTCTCTTCTCATCTTGCCATAACATTATCTCTTCTCATCTTACAGTGACATTGTCTCTTCTCATCTTGCAGTAACATTGTCTCTTCTCATCTTACAGTGACATTGTCTCTTCTCATCTTGCAGTAACATTGTCTCTTTTCATCTTGCCATAAAATTATCTCCTCTCATCTCACGGTGACATTGGCTCTTCCCATCTTACAATGAAATTGTCTTATGTTGTCTTAGAGTAACATTTTCTCTTGTTTCACAGTGAAATTTTGTCTCGTCTCACAGTAAAACATGGTCTCTTTATGTGTCACAGCAAATGTTGTGTCTTCTTGAGTAAAATTGTGTCTCTTCTAATGTCACAGTAATATTTTGTCTCCTATCAAGTCACAGTTAAATTGTGTCACTTCTTATGTCACAGTAGAACAAATTTTTTCTTTTCCTTTGTCACTGTAAAATTGTCTTTTCTTATGCCACAGTAAAATTGTGTCTTATTGCTTCTTGAAGTCCATGCATTGTGGCATTGGTAGTCATGACTGTCCACAACCTTCTGTCTCGTGTACTTTCAATCAACTCTGACACAGATCATCTACTATGCCATGATAAACTGTCCAGCATTTCTTCTTGGGCTCCCTCTCCTCCCCTCCAACTTTCACGATGTACTCCAGTTTTCTCCTTCTATTCACATGACCAAAGAATGTGTATTGTCTCTTTCTGATGTGGGTAATCAGTTCTCTTTATGAGTCAATTTCTTTCAAGACGTCTTTATTGCTCTTTTCGTCTGTCCAGGGTATTCTCATCATTCGTCTATAACACCACATCTTCACAGCTTCCAAATAAGTTTCATTAATTTACTGTCTATGCTTCATATCTGTGTATAGGATCACTTATATAGCTTTTAAGAATTATCTTGTCTTAATTGACGAAGAAAGATTGCATTTTTAATACATCTTCCATCTAATGTTATCAGGGTACCCAAGCATTTAACCATATCAACTTGCTTGAGGTTTGTCTCATTTACTTTGATGTTGCATTTTAGAGGGTCACTTGTCTTTCTAGTTACTATTTTGTTTTTATGCTAAGACTCTTGTTTTCACTTTACGTTATAATTATATCCATCATTTTCTGCAGTTGTGTTTCATTTTCAGCGATCAGCACTATATTTTCAGCATATTGCAGGTTGTTAACAATATGCCCACTAACCACCATTCCCAGCATACCATGTAGGATCTAATCATTACGCTCCTGTACAAATTGACTGAATCAGGGGACAGTGCACATCCCTGTCTAACGCCTTGTTGAATGTTTTGAAAAGTTCTAACTTGGTTGTCAATCCTTATGGCTGCTTCTTGTTGCCAGTATGTTTTTTTCTTCTTCATTACTCTCAGATTTTTGCCATCAAAGTTTAAGGTTTTCAAAATTCTAATAATTTCTTCATGTTTCACTTAACAGATGCTTTAGTGTAATCAATAGTGTAAGCACAATACAAATCTTTTTTTCATGTCAATCATTCTTGCTAAAATTGTTTTCAAGATAAGTATGGCATTGTTTGTGCCTTTACCTTCAACAAAACCACACTGCTTTTCTCCATTTTCTGGTTTAATTTTGCATCTTATTCTTTTCACAATAAATTTTCATTAACATTTGAGTTTCATGACTCATTAAAATAATTTTTCCTCACATTCTACTGCACCACATTTTTTTTATTAGATGTATAAAAAGGGATTTCAAAAGATCATCCGATACATGTCTACTGTTATAAATATCACTGAACCATTTTGTCAAAACTTCTAAACCTGGTTCACCAGCAGCTTTTAATTCTTCAATCATCACTTTATCTGGCCCTGGAGATTTACATTTCTTCATGCTTCTGCTTTTCTACTTCTGCTTCCAGGGTCTCAGACCCTGTCTCTCATCATATGTCACAGTAAAATTGTGTCTCATCTTATGTCAGAGTAAAATTGTGTCTCTTCTTTTGCACAGTAAATTTGTGTCTTTTCTTATGTCACCGTAAAATTGTGTCTCTTCTTATGTCACAGTAAAATTGTGTCTCTTCTTATGTCACAGTAAAATTGTGTCTCATCTTATGTCACAGTAAAATGTGTGTGTCTTCTTATATCACAGTAAAATTGTCTCATCTTATGTCACAGTAAAATTGTGTCTCTTCTTATGTCACAGTAAAATTGTGTCTCTTCTTATATCACAGTAAAATTGTGTCTCATCTTATGTCACAGTAAAATGTGTGTCTCTTCTTATATCACAGTGAAATTGTGTCTCATCTTATGTCACAGTAAAATTGTGTCTCTTCTTATGTCACAGTAAAATTGTGTCTCTTCTTATGTCACCGTAAAATTGTGTCTCATCTTATATCACAGTAAAATTGTGCCTCATGTCACAGTATAATTGTGCCTCTTCTTTTGTCACAAGTAAAATTGTTCCTCTTCTTGTGTCACAGTACAATTTTTTTTTAATCTCTTCTTGTGTCTGAGTTAAAAAAAATGTTTTATACCTCCTAACAGTGAGCTCAGGGAGCGAGTCAGGGGAAGAGTCTGAGGAAAGTGATGGAAGTAGAGATGTGGCCAGCACATGTCAGCGCTGCCTAACAACAAGTAAGTCTGTGTGTCCAGTTTTAGAATCCCTACTTTGCTAGTAATACCTTTGAGTGATCATTAACTTGAGCTGTAAACTCCAACGTTTTTAAGGTCCCACTCCAGACCCTCACGTTCACACCCCCCCCCCCCCCCCCCCCACCCTCCCCCTTTTCCAGCATGACAAAATGGGATTTAAAAAAAAGGAAGACAGTTGCTTCCACAAATTAAATTTACAGTGTGGAGATACATTTTGGTCAGAATGTGTTCTTAATCTATAACTAAACGCCTGTGTTTGACCTGGGAAACAAAGATGACCAGACAACAGTGTCACTGCAATGTCCCACAAAACTAAACCACAAGGCTAACCAAACCAGGTCAACAAATGCCTGCAGAAGTCGGATATGTCAGGCGAAAGAAGCAAATATCGCAACCATGCTGTAAATGGACACAACACAATTATATCATTAGATGAAGACAGAAGATGAGGAAATGCCGGTGTTCTGTTAATTAGATTTTTATCTTTGTGTATATACAGCCTGCTTATGAAAACAAAAAATGTGCCTGTCTTTTTTGTGTGTGTGTGGTAATATAAATAGTATTTAAAAATATTCTAATAATTTTTCTACAATTAAACTGGGGAAAAAAAGGGGGAAAAAACTTACAAATGCATGCTAACAACAACCAGCCACCCCAGGTTATACACCACTGATCAAGGGTGTGGTAGATGGTAGTTTCTTTGGGACAGGTGAAGATGCTTTGGTAAATTTTACTGCTGAGCCAGCCTAAATTTACACGTGAGCTAGACTGTTTCCCTCCAGAGAAGTGTTATGTAATTGATTAGCAACATATGCGAGTTCATAGTGACATAGAGGCAGCCCACCTGATGGTCTGACCTGAGCAAAGGAAACTAAACACCAAGAATGAGAAAATGAGCAACATACATCAAAGAGAAACAAAAATAATCAAAGGTATTGGATACACCAGGGATGAAAAGAGAGAGTTGTTGGAAGAAATAAAAGAAAGTAACATTTTTTGTATGCAGTATAAGCACGCAACTTTTGTTTAAAAAAATATACTGATGCAAGTTGAACTCAAGAGAGCTAAGATGTAGACAGTAATACAAGTGGGAGGACAACATCAAAAGATGGAAACATATTAATGAGAGTATTCAACCAGAACAAGACATACCGAATGTTGGATATTCATTTGCAGACAACCAATATTGTTGACACTGCAGTTGATTGATTGATTAGAGATAAATAAATTAGCAGCGTTTTTGCAACACTGAACATCATAAAAACTCATGAGAAACTGCTTGAGCATTTGTTAAAATTAAGAGCTGGAATTATCATCATCTCCGTGGCTAAGGCGTTGCGAGCCCGACTCGTAAGCCAGCATACCGCGATCGAAACCCACTGCAGGCTGCGTGGGTTTTTGTCGTGGAATGGGACGTCGCAGGTCGACCCAGCCTAAAATGGGTACCAGGATGGGCTGCCCTGGGAAAGTAAAGACAGCCGGCGTAATGCTGACCACATTACCCTCCGAGTGCTGATGGTCTGTAAAAATATGGGACGCTCTGCCCATATGCCCGATGCGCCGAAAGGCGTGAAAAGGGATCTTTACTTTACTTTTTTTTACACCTGAAGGGTTTTGCAGTCGGTGGGAGATGGAGCCCCTCTAGATGTGCTGAGTTTGCACATGTTGTTTCTGAAATCTGTGAACATTAAAGTGGAGAGTTCACTTTTTTGGTGTCATTCCTGATTTATTTTATGACTTTTCTTTGCGTGCCATATCTTTATAATTGCATATGCAAGCTTAGTAATTTTGTACTTACGAGTTCTTTTATTATTTTCTATTTAATCTCTGTCATCGGAGGTTAAAACAAAAAGAGAGAATTTGTATGTGTTGTGTGTTAGTCTCTTTCTTGGTCTTCCGCTCGCCTTCCTCCCAGATGTTCTGCTGTAAAAAGTCTCATATGCTGTTTAGTTTGGCTGCATTCTCACTAGATGGCTGAAACATTTTATTCTTTGTCTTTCAACATAATCCAGACATATATTATTCCAATTTTCTCTCTAATGCTGGTATTCGTAACCCTGTCTCTTCTGGTGTTGTTAGCAACTTTGCAAAATCTGGGAGCTCTAGAAATGGTGATTTTACACAATATTGCTTACAATTCTTTGCACTGCTGAAATGAGTGGTTGAGCTGGAGGTTTGGAAAGAGGGCAAGGCAGTAAGAGTCAGCTCAGTGTACGCATCACAAAGAAGCAGTTGGGGGGGGGGGGGGGGGATGAAAAAAACGTCCTGACAACTGAAAATATAAAAAAGCAGTGAGAAAAGGTTCTTGATAACCTTCTGTTATTGTATGGAAGGGCTTCAGTATATGATATGATTGATCATGTGGCAGATTGCAAGATTCATTGTAAAATACATGAAAGCTGGCAAAGCACTTGGTGGTGATGATGATGAATTTTGTTCCAAATTGTATCTTTCAATTGAAATCCGTCTGAATTTTCTTATTCTTTTTTTTTTTTAAATTTTTAATTCTTAAAGATTAGATGAACAATGTATCAAAAGAAACCGATTGTATCCGAGTGAAATATTTTATCAAATTTTTATGCTTTATATGTTGATGTAACTATTAATGCACCTGGCGAGATACAGCGAAATACGCATGGCAGTAAATTGGGCAATGTTTTGTTGTGTCTGCATTATTTAAATTCACTAAGGGAAACCATTGTTTTGAGTGTCCAAAAAATGTCGTAATGTAAAATGTATTTTTCTCCCTTGCACCAGATTCAAAAGACTGGCACAATGGTAAGGACGGGGAGGTCCTGTGCACCAAATGTCGCCTGTCATACAAGAAGTATGGGGAGGAATCTGGGGTAGAGACCACACCCACCACCAGTCCCAGCCAGTATCTGTTCAAGCCTGTCCCAGAGGACGAGGAGGCCACGCCCTCCAAACACAATATGCGCACAAGGCGCAGCAATAATACAGTAAGTGTGCGGTGCCAGTTTAGGGGGGGGGGGCAATGTCAGTTGATAAATATTTTATTGTAGTGCTGTTAAATGAAGTCGAGAGGATCGACTTTATTGCACCGGTTTTTATCCTATATGGCTCGGTCTTACTCCGCAGAATGGCAAGCTGCCTGCCGAGAGCATTATACAGAGCACAAACTCCGCACCTGCGGCGATGATCCCCAGGGAGCACCGTAAACATCGCACTTGTGAACTGAATGGTGCAACCGCGAAGTGAACTCACAGCATTGAGAGCAACCGGCTTTGCCGCGGAGACCCACTAGACGCTCTCCCTGTGGGTTCCAGGGACCTGTTTTGCCGCGACACATCCACCTCTAAAAAAAAAGACAACTAATCAGAATCAGCATTTTGCTGAAATTGGATATGTTGGACTCTAGGTGCAGATATGGCAGCCTAGCTGTGAACCACCACATGGCATGCCAACCCCTATCTTAAGAGTTAATGCAGAAGATGAGGCGGCACAGAGGAACAGTTTTACAGATGTATGCTCCTCTAGCGGGGCTATTCAACTAAGTTTTCTCATGAGCCAGGTTTAACTAAATTTACTCAGCGGTACACACATGTCGTAGTTGTAACTGACTCACAGAGTATGTTGAGAAAGATGGAGACCGGCATGCTACGTGCAGAGTGGCAAGCATTGCTTTAGCGGTCCCAGGTAGTTAATTTTCTCCAGGCTGTGCTGGTGTGGTGGGAAACAACCAGTCAGAAAGACTGGCCGGTTCTGCCCCACTTGGTGGTGAACTGATGTATGACAAGGTAGATGTTGTGAGGGCCCTTTGGGAGCGAGTGAACAGTGAAGAGGCACAAATAGATCATTACGGTCTGAGGAAATGGTGCTGCGGGGAGTTAACAGCCAGTGAACGTGAAGAAGTATAGTATCATTAATTTTTAAGGTCTGTGTGGCTGTGACTGCCACTCCCGCCACAGACTTTACAGTCATAGCCTAAATTAGCGGCACTATAGTAATTTAGTTCAGGAATTGTTTACTTTTTAGTTGATTTGGTGTAGTTGATTATGATTTGAGTGTCTAGAATTCTCCCATACAAAATTGTCCTTAATGTTCCCATAACTAATTATGGTATAGTGTAGCAAGTTTAACATGAAAACAATGTAGACTTTTTCTTTCCTTAAATTAGACATCAACAAACGGAAAGAAGAAAGAGCAAAACAGTGCCAGCAGTGCAGATTTGGAGGCTTCCCCAGTGATTACTAACATCAGCAACAGCACTACCACCACATCCAACACAGCAAACATCAGTAAAAGTGGTCGGAAATCACCGAACAGCATCACGGACAAAGACGATAAAAAACCAGCCCAGGTACTTTTTTATTTTTTGTTTTTGTTGCTGTTGTGTTGACAACCATATGTATGAACAGTTATAACAACAAAGAAGATGATGATGTACTGGCACATCTTGAAGAGGAAGAGGCAGAGGGTCACCAGATAGGCACTGAGATGGTAGATAGATAGATTGTGGAAGCTGAGAACATCCAGGGGTAGATAGATAGATTGTGGAAGCTGAGAACATACAGGGGTAGATGGATAGATTGTGGGAGCTGAGAACATCCAGGGGTAGATAGATAGATTGTGGAAGCTGAGAACATCCAGGGGTAGATAGATAGATTGTGGAAGCTGAGAACATCCAGGGGTAGATAGATAGATTGTGGAAGCTGAAAACATCCAGGGAAAAGCTGAGATGAATGTTGTTGAGAGAGGCCAAAGGTGCTGGACTGGATTGTATCCATGATGTTGAGAGAATGGAATGAAGGACTAGACTGCGAGCCCTATGTGATGTATAATGGCACTACAGGATATCAATGAATCCCTTGTCCATATTTGAGTGTTAAACCTTTCACTGCTACGTACACCTCCAGCGAACGTTAATACTTTGCTAAGCTGGTTCCCCGCTGAACTTTCCCCTTGTGCTGAATACGTTTCTGTCCTCCAAATGCGAGAGATAGGTCGGCGGTGAGGGCTATATTTTGTACACCTGAAAATATTTACCCTAGGTAAGTGGGCGATGGCCTGAGTGCTGACAAATCAGACACACGATAGCGACGCCAAGAAAAACATTTACAGAAAGGAAACACTCCAGATTTACTCGGGATAGTGAAAGAAGTTGTCTCCTTGGCTAAGTCTATCTTTGTCTCCACTGCTACCTCATATGTAGTAGAAACTCCCCGGGCGAGGGAACACAACTGTAGCTTTCCGATTGTCAGCAGGAACTCTTTGCAGTTTGATTTGGGCACGTGGTGTTACAGGATTCGATTGCAAAGACTACTTTAAGGAACATAGAGGGGCAGCCAGAGCAGAGGAGGACAAAGAAGAACCTTGAATGGCAACATTAGGAAATGAACAGGACTGGATTATTGTACACTGTTAACAAGCGAAAGAAAGAGAAAAGTAATATGTTTCGTGTAGTTGTGCTTAAATCGATACACCTCCGCTACCCAAACAGGTTATACCATTTACACATCTGAAGTACTAAGACAAACTTCAGAACATACCCTGCAAGACTGCCCAGATTTTGACACAGAGAGAGAAAGAGGAAATCTGGCTTAAGAGACTGACTTTCAAAAACAAATTATGGAAGACTGCTTAAGACCTCGGGCTGACCTTTCTTTTGGTGAAATTTTTCAGAGCAGACTCCTTGCAAACGTGAACTGTTGGTGAAAAAATCGAGTTCAGAATGTAGCTTTATAGTAGTTATAGAATAGCCTTCAGCAATCTTATATAGTTAATTGGAGCATAGACTTAACTGTGGCATGTTCGAAAGTGTAATACAGTGCATGTTTGTGTGTGTGTCTGTGTGTACTGCATACTACTCACCTTATGAAGCTTAGAACATCTGCTTGGTTCAGAACCATGTGTTATACTTCTAAATAATTCCAACTGTAATAAGTTAGTATTTTTTATATTATTATTTATTTAAAATACTCTTTATGTTTTCCTTTTTTTTTTATTACAGAAATCTAAGGAGTCTAACCCCACAAAGGCAAAGAAGAGAAGACTTGTCTCTGAAGAAGACACGAAGGTTGCGAAGAAGAAAAAGGTGGGTGAATTAAATTGTAAACTGTATGTAAGGAATTCACAGATGTATGTGTTGGTTTGTTCAGTTGGACTGTGAGATGTCTGCACACTTGTAGGTTTTTTAACATAATTGTTCATGATATCCACATATTTATTTGTTCATCCAGTTAGGTCTATAAGATATTCAAAGACTTGTCTGTTTATGCAATTTGTTCTGTTAGATTTTCAGAGACATATTTTTATCCAAATTGTTCAGTAATGTGCTCACAGACTTGTCTGTTTATCCACTCTGTTCAGTAAGGTGTTCACAGACTTGTCTGTTTATCCACTTTGTTCAGTAAGGTGTTCACAGACTTGTCTGTTTATCCACAGTGTTCAGTAAGGTGTTCACAGACTTGTCTGTTTATCCACTCTGTTCAGTAGGGTGTTCACAGACTTGTCTGTTTATCCACATTCTGAAAGATGTTCAAACACTTGTCCGTTTATCCCCTTTGTTCTATAAGACGTTCAAAGAATTGTCAGTTTATCCACTGTGTTCTATAAGATGTTAAAAGACTTGTCGGTTTATCCACATTGTTCTTTAAGACATTGAAAGACCTGTCTGTGTATTTACTTTGATCTGTAAGATATCCACACACTTGGCTGTTTGTGCACATGGATATTTAAGCTATCCACACACTTGCCTGTTTGTACCCACGTGTCTTTGAGATATCCACACACTTGTCTGTTTGTGCACATAGATCTTTAAGATATCCACACACTTGTCTGTCTGTGCACATGGGTCTTTAAGATATCCACACACTTGCCTGTTGTGCCCATGGGTCTTCAGGATATCCACACTCTTGCCTGTTTGTGCACATAGGTCTTTAAGATATCCACATACGTGCCTGTTTGTGCCCATAGGTCTTTAAGATATCAACACATGCCTGTTTGTGCCCATGGGTCTGTAAGACATCCACACACTTGTCTGTTTGTGCACATAGGTCTTTAAGATATCCACACACTTGTCTGTTTGTGCCCATGGGTCTTTAAGATATCCACACACTTGTCTGTTTGTGCACATGGGTCTTTAAGATATCCACACACTTGCCTGTTTGTGCCCATTGGTCTTTAAGATATCCATGCACTTGTCTGTTTGTGCACATAGGTCTTTAAGATATCCACACACTTGCCTGTTTGTGCACATAGGTCTTTAAGATATCCATGCACTTGTCTGTTTGTGCACATAGATCTTTAAGATATCCAACCACTTGCCTGTTTGTGCCCATGGGTCAAGATATCCACACGCTTGTCTGTTTGTGTTCATGGGTCTTTAAGATATCCACACACTTGTCTGTTTGTGCACATGGGTTTCTAAGATATTCACACACTGTTAATCATTTTTTGGTTAAGTTTATCCACTTTCAACTTGACTGTTTATGTTATTATATTTGTAAGATATTTAAGAAAGTGGCAGAAAAAAGAAGAGAAGATGAGTCACCAACATAGAACTAAGAACAGTGGTAGGTACAGTACCGGTAAATGATTTCATAAAACGTTAAAGCATCAAACGACAGCTAAAGCAGATTGCTTGAGAACAGCAGGCTATAATTCAAGAGGTCGCCCAAGAAAGAGATTGGTGAATGGAGTGAAAGAAACACTACATAAATTACATTAACACAAGATATACAACTAGCAAAAATCAGGAAAATTATGTCGTAACTTCTCTCATCGATGCTTTACAATACAAGCAGTGGGACAAAAGAAAGAAGACAGAAATATCCACAGATTTGATTCATTTACCAGTTAACATAGTTGCTAGAAGTTGAATTACACTTGAAGATGTGATAGGACAAAAAACTTTGATGTTGCCCATGTCCACATAGCACATTGAATGTTGCCCATGTCCACATAGCACATTGAATGTTGCCCATGTCCACATGGCACATTGAATGTTGCCCATGTCCACATGGCACATTGAATGTTGCCCATGTCCACATGGCACATTGAATGTTGCCCATGTCCACATGGCACATTGAATGTTGCCATCTTCAGCAACAAGTGAAGAGTTCCAATTCGGATGCTACCAGTAACCGTCTGATACATAGCACAATGATAACATTAAACACTGAGAGCAAGGAGTAAGACCATGCAAATATGGATCGATGACATCAAGAACAGTAAAAGAAGTTAAGATCAGCGCAGTAAAAAAGCGCATAGGAGGACCCCTTCCTCTCCCCCCCCCCTTTCCACTAGAGCTGTATGTATCTATACAAGACTGCAGGTCACACTGGACCCTAATTAAAACTTTTTTAGAGGTTGAACAGGATAGCTGGGATCTGCCGGCCAGGCTGAGATTCTTTTTTAAAACCCCAGGGTGGTAAATTGTCAGGTAGCAGCCCGGAGGAGACAGGCTGATTGATGGATGCGATAACTGGAGAAAGAGAATGAACTTCATTTTGTGGAAAGTTCTGGTTGTTCATCAGCTTTTGGACTTGAATCTTATTCCAGTTTTGCCTGCTGTTTTACAGATCTCACTTATTTGTGTGCAGACTATTGGTTCCTTGCCTATCAGGCAGATGCACTCTGACTTCACAGGAAATACCGATCCTATCTACATTGGTCTGTCTCTGGAAATTGTGATCCTATCTGCTCTGGTCAAGTTCTCTAAATTTTGATCCTGTCTGCGTTGGTTGGGCTAAAAGAATTTTTGATCATATCTACGTTGGTTGGGCTCTAAAAATGTTGATCCTGTCTGCATTGGTTGGGCTCTAAAAATTTCGATCCTATCTACATTGGTCGGGCTCTCGAAATGTCCCTCCTATCTGCGTTGGCCAGGATTCTCAGTTGAGAGACTGTTTCTAGGATGACAGTTCAGAGGCATAAACAGGTCAGAAAGACTTGTGCCCTAATGCAGCCCCTAGAGTCTTTCAGCACTTCTGCATCTCTCTGGGCAGTTTGACATCGTAGCATGAACAGACATCAGTATAAGAAATGTACACAAGGCAGAAGCCTGTTGACAGCATCATGGGCAACGTGGGCTTTAAGAGGAAGAACAGTAACTAATGGTTTTGTTGATGTATATTGTCAGTTTTTGTTTTATACTTTGGTCAGAACATTTGGTTGTGTGTTCATCTGCATCTTTTCCATTTCTTCCGTTGAGCTTGTGTTATGTTCAGCATCAGAGAATGCAAATATATTTGACATACTTTTTGTTGCTTATATTTATACTGGTTTTGTCACTTCATTTACATTGTTATCTAATGTCATTTATACAGGAGAGGTCTGATTCGGAATCTGGTACTGAAAGCAGTTCTGCATCAGGCACAGAGGATATCGGCAACGAGGTGGACTCTGATGAAAATAATCAGGTTAGTGTTGCAGGTGTTTCTGTTATCCGGGAGGGGGGGAGAGGGGGGGGGGGGTTAAGACCTGCTGCTGCCTAACAAGTAAGTAGTAAAAGATCACTAATTTAAGATTTTCTGAAATGGGTCAGGCTGGGAAAAGCACAGATATCGCAGACGAGCTGTAAACCACAATATAGAATGACAACCATCTTTTCCAGGGCGAACAATATAGAAGAAGAACAATCAGTTTGTTCTTCACATTAGCTAAAACAGCTAGCGGTACCAGCACCATATGTCCCTGTGGGTTCTGAGGTCCCTTTGTGGTGGGGGGGGGGGACCCACTGTCTCCCTATGAAGCATATCATAAAAGGCGACAGATTTATGAATTTTTTTGCCCAAAGTTGAAGCGCATCTGCCTGGGAGGCAAGGAGCCAGTCTGCAGGCGAATAAGCCAGATCTATAAAATAGATGTGCACACAGAATTCAAGTTCTGACACAAGACCAAAGTCCAGAAGTGAGCGAACAACCAACCTTCCCAAGGTTACAGCCAGTAAACACTAAGGAGGAGAAGTTCACCGGCTGCAAACTCCGGCGGAAAGTTCTGGTTGTTCATCCACTTCTGGACTCCAGTCCTGTTCTAGAACCTAACTGTTGCGTGTACATCCGTTTCACAGGTATGACTCATTTGCATGCAGATTGTTGATTCTCTGCGCCTCAGGCAGATGTACTCCGACTTTGAAGGCAGCACCTATTTAGTCGACTATTACGACATGCTTTTGGGCAGACAGTGGGTTAATTCTTGTTTTCCCCCACAATGGGGCCCCGGAACCCACACAGGGAGGTAAAACTAAAGGTCCCTTTTCGACACCTTTAGGTGTATAGGGCTAGACCTTTATTTTTATAGACCAATCAGCACAAGATGGGTGATGTGGTCAGCATGTTGCCGGCACACAGGTAGGTGCTGTATCTAATAAGATTGATGTGAGAGTAAGATGGCGCCCGAAAAAGAGAATTAATTTGTGACATTAATGGTGTACATCTACACAAGAGGACACTGGCGTGTCGCTCATCGGGCTCTGCCCCTGGCCATTTCTCCTTTCGGTAACAATTGATGATGATGATGACCGACTTGTTTCACATCTCATTAATTAAGCGTTTCACATCTCATTGATTTAATGTTTCACATCTCATTAATTAAGCGTTTCACATCTCATTGATTGAATATTTCACATCTCATTGATTGAATATTTCACATGTCCCTAAAATAATATTTGACATGTCGCTAACAGAATGTTTTACATGTCGCTAACAATGTTTCACCTGGTGCTAACAGACAATAAATGCTTTACATTTGGCTAACACAATGTTTCACATGTCACTAACAGAATGCTTCACATGTCGCTAACAGAATGTTTCACATGTCACTAACAGAATGTTTCACATGTCACTAACAGAATGCTTCACATGTCGCTAACAGAATGTTTCACATGTCACTAACAGAATGCTTCGCATGTCGCTAACCGAATGTTTCACATGTCGCTAACAGAATGTTTCACACGTCGCTAACAGAATGCTTCACATGCCGCTAACAGAATGTTTCAAATGTCGCTAACAGAATGTTTCACATGTCGCTAACAGAATGTTTCACATGTCGCTAACAGAATGTTTCGCAAGTCGCTAACAGAGTGTTTCGCATGTCACTAACAGAATGTTTCGCATGTCGCTAACAGAATGTTTCACATGTCGCTAACAAAATGTTTCACATGTCGCTAACAGAATGTTTCACATGTCGCTAACAGAATGTTTCACATGTCGCTAACAGAATGTTTCACCTGGCGCTAGCAGAATGTTTCACATGTCTCTAACAGAATGTTTCACATGTCTCTAACAGAATATTTCACTTACTCTGATTAATTAATTCTTTAATTGTACACTACAACAGGAGGAGCTCAGCGGCAGTTCCAGACCTTCAAGTCCCAGCTCTGTAGAGCGGGGATTCAAACCCTTACAGCCACAACCACCCACTCCAGGAGTCCAGCAGTTGATACCAACATCTAGTGCTTCAGTTGGAAAGACTAACCCAGTACAGGACATACCCAGCATCAGTACTGTAGCTACTAGCTCTGCCACTTCTCACCTCGCCAGTTCATCTGACAGTCTACCTAGTCGGCCAGCATCTGCATCTCATCAGTACCAGCAGCAGTATTTGAACACACCAACACCACCACCACCACCACCAGCGCTGACATCATCGTCATCCACTGTGCTTACAGCTACATCAGCAGCGCTAGCTACTTCAGCACTGTCCTCTTCTTCAAGAAGCAGTCCACAGCTGAGGTGTCAGCAGCAGCAGCAGCATCAATCACCGCTGCCAGTTTTTAAACCCGGCATCGGGCAGGCAGGGATTATTTCGGGTATTGGAACTATAACAAGTAAGAACCACAGCAGCCCTGGTGGCCTGTTATCGTCACCCTTAGTGATACCGACACCAAACCTGAGCCGAGCCTCATCTAGCGGGACATTTATACCACACACGGAGCTGGCAGTTCCCGCCAGCACAGCCAGCAGCGTGCCAACAGGAAGTAGTAACTTTGCCACCACGAAAACCACATCAGGAGTAACATCCGTAGACTCTGTTATATCAGTAGCAGCATTAACTAGCCGCTCCTCCTCTACAGCAGGAGCTCAAGCTGGTAACACCAGCAGTGGCAGCAGTAATAGTAGCAGTGCAATCATTAACTCTAATTCTCTAAGCAGGATGCAGGAGCAAGTTGAGAAGCAGGATAAGAAGCCAGTGATACCACAGCCAGGCTCATTCTTACCGGCCTCAGTTGGGGTACCTTTTCCGTACCATTCATATTACTACCCTCACTCTGGAAGCGGACATCTTCCGCCACACCTGCATCCATCTGTAGCCATGTCGGTTGCCTCCTCTGTTGGGGGCAGCCCACACCAGCCACCCCCTCCAGTTCCAAGCCTGATACCCATTAAAAAGGAGCCGCATTCTCCTCCGCCGCCACTGAAGCCGTCAGACAAAGCCACAGATTTGTCTTCGTCCACAGGCTCATCGCAGTCAGGTCATCGTCCGCACTCGGAGAACCCACCGAAGCTTCCTCATGGGTTCAACCATTCGGGCTTACCATTAACTGCCCCTTTGCCTCCGCCACCCCTTACTGTTATTGACCACAGAGATGGGGCAAAGTCAGACGAATTATCGAAATCGGAACCATATACCAAAGAGAATACCCGTGGTCTTCCTCCATCACCCCATCGTCCTGAGAGCCACTCAATGATATTACACAGAGAATCCCGATTGGATAGCAACTTGAGTGTGCTGAGGGAATCCCGAGAGATAGGGATAGCAGGAGGACTAAATCCCACACAGCCGGGACAACAGCTCCCGCTTACTTCCATCAAAGAAGAGCCAAGATCTTTATCAGCAGCATTCCAGCCTTACTCTCATCATCCGCACTCATCTTCCACTTCCTCGTCTACTCATCATTCAGCAGCTTCGGTGCTGCAGGTCCCCCAGCCTCACTTATCCTTGGACCAATCACATAGCTCAACATCTCTGATGTCGTCGCAGTCCATGTTGTCTGACTCCTCCCACAGCACTGCCCGCCCAACTGCAAACCCTGACATTGAAACTCTGATAAAAAAAGAGCCAATCACAATTGAGGATATAGATGTCGATGAAGATGATGATGACATCAGAGGAGGCACCACAACACCTGGACCCACTCCAACAGTGTGCAACAGAGAAATATACAAGAGTAACTCTGCAATGTAAGTGTATTTGTCCTTCTCTGTTATTGCAATATATTTATGCATGTTGTGTAGAGATTTGACTTTTTATTAATTAGGAATGTGTTGTCTTTCGTTGTGTCTGTGCAGTCCATTACAAACATTGAAGTAGCACGGTAATCCGCTACTGTACCTTCTTCGTCATCAGCATCCTCATCCTTTTATTCATGACAGTTCCCCCACAGTCTGTTCCACCTGTCCATCTCCTTTGGCCTCTCTTAACAGCATTCATCTTGGTGTTTTCCTATGACATCCTCATTCTCTGGATCCATTTGCTTTTCAGTTTCAGTGGCTGTTCAGTCTTTAGCTGTTTCTTCTCATGCTGTTTATATTTTTATATGGAGGGAAGGGGGTGTTCGTTGGCTGGCCGATGACTTTGTCAAGGATCAGGACAGTATTTGGGTCTGTCTCTTTTGATTGCCTCAGCACTGCAAGAGTCCTTTTCAGGGCTACTTGGTGGCAAGCAGTGCTAAGCCATTTTATATGGCGCATATAACCTAGTCACAATTAAAACCTAAAGCAACAGAGTTCATGCTTTGTTTAAACGCTTTCGGCAAGTGGCTGGCCATTCTGCAGAGAGCAAAACGAAGCCACATGCGATAAACCCCAGTGCAGTGAAATTGATCCTCTAGACTTTTTAACGCTATAGCTATCTTCTTAGCCACACCGAGCCACCTACAAATGGACTTTAGTCTAGTGGTTACTATAAGTCCTTTCTTCTCTGTATTTCTGCCCTCATCCTCCATGGAGCATCGGCCCTCAGCTAACACATGACCTAAGATTATCTGCTGCTATCACATGTGTGTGCTCAGCAGGCATGTCACAAGAGGCTGTGAACAGTGTGGTTGGGTTTAAGGTTGACGCCTTCAGTCCATAAGCCTCTCTTCACAAAAACAGTGAACAAGTGCCACAAACAAAGCAGATAACATCCTGCCAACTAAGATACTTCCTGCTAAAAAACTTTATATCCACTACAGTACTGAGTCATCTACAAATGGACTTGTCTAATACTGTTATGTCCCCAAATAACAAACTTTAATCTGCTACAGAACTGATTTCTACAAATGGACTTAGCTTCACAAGTATACTTTATGTCGTATACTCACAAACTTTAATCTGCTACAGAACTGGTATCTACAAATGGACTTTGCTTCACTAGTATACTGTATGTCCTTTACTAACAAACTTTAATTCACCACCCTAGCTTGTCATCTAGAAAATAGTTGTTAATGATAAACCTTTTCTGTTGTGCATGACACAGATAAAACTGGCTGTCACCCAAAAATAACAATAAATGATGAAGAAATTGAAAATGTCACAAACTTTGAATGTCTAGGTTCTATAATAAACAACATTGGAGACTGTTCGACAGAAATTAAAAGGAGGATGGCCATAGCAATGCAAAGATTTAACAGCCTAAAAAGTCTATGGTTAAGCACCAGCAAGGAGATACAAATTAGAATTTTGAGAGCATGCATCTTCCCTGTGGCTACATATGGATGTGAGTCGTGGACTATCTCTCAATCCTTAAGAAAGAGAATAGGGCTTTTGAGCTGAAATGCTATAGAAAGATTCTCAGAACATCTTGGACAAAGAAGATGAGAAATATTGACATTTTAAAAGATCTGAACATCAAGGAAGATTGGCTAATAAACAGCATCCTTTCTCGAAAGCTGAAATACTTTGGTCATATCAAGCGCCACGACGGATTGGAAAAAATTATAGCAGAAGGCATGGTACCAGAAAGGAGGGGCAGAGGCCAACCGACACGAAGATGGGCACAGGATACAAGTGACTCCTTGAGTATGAAAGTACATGAGGCAGGAGAACTGGCCAGAGTTTCTTACAGGCAGACTGTGATGAGGGCGACGTTTTGCAAAGGACCTGCTACATGATGATGATGATTGTGCATGAGCTTTGTTCTCAGGTATGCTTATAAAGCATATCACAGGTTGTTTCTGTGGACAAAAGAAGTAAACAAGATACACAAAATAACTACTCTTTACACTGGAACCAACAGGGATATAGAAATAAAGGCAGACCGAAAAGCACCCGGAGAAGGGAGTTAGAGAATGAAGTTTAAAAGACGAAGAGGACATGGGGTGAGAAATAGCAAAAGATAGGATGATTTGATGTGAGTTGGTAAAGGGTCAATCCTCAGTTTGGGGCAAAGGTTAGAATAATAAGTAAACAAACAGTCCTTGAAGTCGCATATGATAACTTGATAGAAGAATGAAAAATTGCTGTGAGTGGTCAAAACAAATGCACCCTATTCTTGACTTAACGACATATGCACTTTCGCCCGATCATTTGCACTTACAACTGCAACAAATATAAGAATAAAGAAAGGTAACTACACCAGTCGGGATCAAACAGTTCCCAGAATTATACTATGTTATGTATTTTATACATTATATAAAATATGCATTGATTAAATGGTTGTGTTTTAGGTTGAAATTTTAAAACCCCATTTGAATGAGAATAGTGTTGTAAAATGTAAGTTTGTCTTACGACCTTCATATCAGAGCTCTTGCATAATCTGTTTTGAAAGACACTGAGGAAGGTGTAATCTATTTTGAAATCCGGAGGCAGGAAAGATCACCCTGTTATTCAAACTAAACCAGTTATCACAACCAGCTTCTTCATTTCTGTCGAAAGATTTTCTCTGAGCTGTTCTCAAACAAAGGTATCGAGAAAGACAAAAGTCTTCTGAGCCGAATGTAGAGAATAGAATAGGTATGTAAGTTCTGGGCCGAATGTAGAGAATAGAATAGGTGTGTAAGTTCTGAGCCGAATGTAGAGAATAGAATAGGTGTGTAAGTTCTGAGCCAAATGTAGAGAATAGAATAGGTGTGTAAGTTCTGAGCCGAATGTAGAGAATAGAATAGGTGTGTAAGTTCTGAGCCAAATGTAGAGAATAGAATGGGTGTGTAAGTTCTGAACCGAATGTAGAGAATAGAATAAGTGTGTAAGTTCTGAACCGAATGTAGAGAATAGAATAGGTGTGTAAGTTCTGGGCCGAATGTAGAGAATAGAATAGGTGTGTAAGTTCTGGGCCGAATGTAGAGAATAGAATAGGTGTGTAAGTTCTGAGCTGAATGTAGAGAATAGAATAGGTGTGTAAGTTTTGAGCCAAATGTAGAGAATAGAATAGGTGTGTAAGTTCTGAGCCAGATGTAGAGAATAGAATAGGTGTGTAAGTTCTGAGCTGAATGTAGAGAATAGAATAGGTGTGTAAGTTCTGAGCCAAATGTAGAGAATAGAATAGGTGTGTAAGTTCTGAGCCAAATGTAGAGAATAGAATAAGTGTGTAAGTTCTGAGCCAAATGTAGAGAATAGAATAGGTGTGTAAGTTCTGAGCCAGATGTAGAGAATAGAATAGGTGTGTAAGTTCTGAGCCGAATGTAGAGAATAGAATAGGTGTGTAAGTTCTGAGCCGAATGTAGAGAATAGAATAAGTGTGTAAGTTCTGAGCCAAATGTAGAGAATAGAATAGGTGTGTAAGTTCTGAGCCAGATGTAGAGAATAGAATAAGTGTGTAAGTTCTGAGCCAAATGTAGAGAATAGAATAGGTGTGTAAGTTCTGAGCCAAATGAAGAGAATATAATAGGTGTGTAAGTTCTGAGCCGAATGTAGAGAATAGAATAGGTGTGTAAGTTCTGAGCCAGATGTAGAGAATAGAATAAGTGTGTAAGTTCTGAGCCAAATGTAGAGAATAGAATAGGTGTGTAAGTTCTGAGCCGAAAGTAGAGAATAGAATAAGTGTGTAAGTTCTGAGCCGAATGTAGAGAATAGAATAAGTGTGTAAGAATCTAAATATTTAAATCCTTAGCTGTTGGCTGCACTGGCCATGTTTTTTTTTGAGGGGGTGCATTGTCTAAGCAGAAAGGTTGTCACAGAAATCCTGATAAGAACGGTCACATAAGAAAATTTGAACGTCTTCTGACATCTGTTGATGTTAATGGGGAAAATAAAGTAGAGGAAAACAACATGAGAAGTAATTTGATAGTCTTACATTAGTGCTGTTGATATTCTTGCATCGTGAGTTGAGTGTTAGAGAGCCACAGTTTTGGAGGGAGATTATAGTATCGTTAGTTGGATGGTTGATTTGGTGATGAAGATTTCATTCAACTTTTATTTGACTGCACTTAAACTATGCTCGTCATTGTTCCTCAAGATATTTCAGTTGATGTCAATAATCAGCAGTGAATACTTTATTTGAAGATAAAGTCTTTTGGACGGTGTCCGTGGCTTAGGCGTTGCGAGTCCGACTCGTAATTCCAACATACCGCGATCTAAACCCACTGCTGGCTGCATGGATATTTATCATGGTATGGGGCATCGCAGGTCAACCCAGGCTAAAATGGGTACCAGGATGTATATCTTGGGGAATTAAAGACGGCCGGTGTAATGCTGACCACATTACCCACCTAGTGCCGATTGGTCTGTAAAAATATGGGTGCTCTTTCCATATGCCCGATAACTACGCCTAAAGGCGGGAAAAGGTACTGTTTTTTTTTTTTAAGGTCTTTTGGGAAATGTTAGCATTTAGTTAAGATTGCATTTCTTTTGTAAGCAGTATTTTCTTAGTTACGCAGTTCCATTAAGTAATTTTAATATTTTGCTCGTCACAGTGCTAAGATCTTTTGGCAGATACATTTTTACTTCCTTCAGATATTGTTGACAGGGTTAGCCTTCCTGGATGCAGCATGTTTGAGATATAGGTGAAGCTGTATCTCTGCTCTGGATGCAGTATGTTTGAGATATAGGTGAAGCTGTATCTCTGCTCTGGATGCAGTATGTTTGAGATATAGGTGAAGCTGTATCTCTGCTCTGGATGCAGTATGTTTGAGATATAGGTGAAGCTGTATCTCTGCTCTGGATGCAGTATGTTTGAGATATAGGTGAAGCAGTATCTCTGCTCTGGATGCAGTATGTTAGAGATATAGGTGAAGCTGGATCTCTGCTCAGCATGTTTGAGA